TTAAAATGATGGTGTTCTGCTAGTTTGCTCTGCAAATAGTCGCAATCCATGGGGCTTCATAGCAAATTTCTGTATTAATGGAACATTTACACTTAGTTACAAGGCGGCCTTGTGTGTAACAGCGTGGTCTAGGTATATGCCAGACAACTGTGTGAGTAGTATCAGTTATATATTTATTTGACTATAGATTATGATTATATGTCCTGAATAGGTTGGCGGCTTATAAGCAATTGGAATTTTATTCCTTATGTTGTTCAGTAGTTACCAGACATGTGTAAACTTGTAAACTTTTTCTTTTCAATATGGGTTATTTTTCCATTACAGGTTCTTTTTTACATATCTTCTGCCACACAGTGCTCCAGCCTCACTGAGACCGTTATTGGATAAGATAGTCAATGCAACAGGTAAACCCACTCAATGGAGTAATGCCAGTTACCTTTTTTCTGTCATGCTTGGGATATGGGGGATGCTGCTTTTATGTTCATTGTGATTGAACCAGGTTGCCTTTTTACACAGCATAAAATTCCCCCAGACAGAGAAGGCAAGAACGGCCCTGAATATCAGTGAAATCATATTTTGAGGTTTTAACTACGTTTTGGACCTGCATACTCCTTGCAAAATACTTCAGTATAAGAGTGTGTTGTGTCTTCATATGTGCTTCAGTAGCAGTCTCGCAAGCAACAATCCAAATAAAGTTAATTCCTGTGGAAACCAACTGGGTAGCCACTTGGTATTACCTAATGGACTATTTATCCACATCATGGCACCATCATAACGTAGGGCACCACCAACTTCTGATGCTTATGACCTGGTCTGAATGCAACCTCTCTTTACTTCTGCAAAGGTTGCTGCTCATCTAAATCTTTTTTTCCTCTGTGCTTTTAAAGGAGAACTTCACTGGGGAATAGATGAAACAGCAGCTCAGCTGGAAAGAGTTTTGAATTTGTATAAGAGTGGAGAGTACTTACAGAACACTACCCGAATACCAAAAACTGGTAAAGTATTCTTTTTCAGAATTTAAAATCAGAGATTCTGCTTTGTCTTTTGTTTGAGGTTCAAAAGGGAAAATATTCAGAAAAGATGGAGACTCAAAGGTTTTTGAAACCATACATGTGAGGTCAAATATGAAATGATTTCCAGTACGAGATGGTTTCCAATATGGTTCTTGCTTCCTGGGCAACTTCTGAAGCTTCTTGCACTAAATAAGATAGTGAGACTTCTGTAGGTGCGGGCAGGGTCCTCTGGAGAAGAGGGAAAGACCGTGGAGCGCTGCCTTCCATAGCAGCAGACCTGTGGGAAATGTGTTTTGTAAACTCATGCTGAGAGGTGCAGCACATCCAAACACTTGTCCGCTGTGGGAGTGCGAGAACTCTCCCAACCAGGAGCTGATGGGAATATTAACAATGATATTTTCCTGTATTAGAGCATAAAGATACCCTATTCCTTTGTGAATTTCCGGAGACTTACAGGAGCTGCTTTCAGACTTTAGCATCTGTAGATTGGAAGAATAAAGTTTTTCCTTGCTTTGCAAGGGAAGGACACTGTAACTCCCAGCTTCTGCTAGCAATAGGATAACAAAAAGGCATGGGTTGAAAATGAAGCTGCACAGTAGCATCTTTTTCGTAAAATCTCCTCTCTACACAGGTATATAAATACTAGCCAAGCAACTCCAATATAAAGGGAAGCATGTCCTACCAAGAAGGATACCTTGCGAGTGATACGTTTCAAATACGTTTATACAGAAATGGAAACGTCTGTTAAGCCAAACAATTGAAAAAACTTGCGCAAATTATTTTCTGGGCATGTGCAATATTCATGTCAGACTGTTGACATTCTTGACTGCAAGTTGATGGGAAAATTATGGTTTTGCTGCAAAAGCACTGTAAAGGAGGAGAGATGGGTTCCAAATGAAGATGAATGTTGGCACAGAGCATTTAAAAAGGGCAGCAGAGCATTTACTCTGAGAGAGACACAGCAGCCAAATTCATTCCTATCGTAGCACTGTTATCCTCAAGGGGTCATGACACCAGGGATGAATTTGACCCACTTATCAGAAATAATTCAGTATTTATTTTGTTGTAAAACTGGCAGGATAATTGCTGCAGGTGTTCATTTAACTTTGTAATTTTCAGCTTTTCATCACAGTCTGTGCTGAGTGATGCCTGTCAACACAGCAAAATTATTTTCAGCGGTCCAATCAATAGTACAAACACGTCCTTTGTTGAAGAAGTGCCAGGAGAGCCAAAGTTTTTCTGTGATACTGGTTGATTCCAGATTTAACCACCATATCAGGATAATATGAAAGGAGAAATGTTTAGGACAGTAGCAGTAAACCTGACAGTGCAAGTTCCTAGTAATACGGAGCAGAGCTTCCTGTATTCCTAGCTCCTATAATAAATACACATATTTGTGTTAGTTTAATTCCATGGAGTCCTGGACAATATAACATAGAATCTGCTCGCCTTGCTCAAGGTTAGTAATGTCTTCCTGTGCAAGTGGTCCTTTTTATTTTAAGGATGCTTCAAGGTTCTTGGGGACCTGACGCTCCACAGCATCAGCTAAGACGTTGAAAATACCTGGAAACTTTAAGTAACGTTATGCCAGTCGAGGAGGCTGCTAAATTAAAGCTCATGAATGTAAATACCTTGATATAAAAAAGGTCTCAACCTATAACTGGCCTGAGAAATCGGATGTGTTAGCAGAAGTTATGCTTGCAGGAGATGTTTTCAGACTTAGCTGCCACATCTTTAAGATGTTCAGGTCTGCTTCTCGTTTGTTCTAAGGCTGCTTTACCCAAACAGAAAAGGCATTGTAATTTATTTCTATTTTAAGGCTCCTTTTCCTCGCCAGAAAAAAATGAAAAAGTCATACTTCAAGAGTGAAAATAGCCCTGCCTGCTCATTCATATCACTTCTATTCTGCATACCTTCCTCCTTCTACTAATACTTCATTTGTAAAGTCAAGCTGGGATTCATTTTTAATGCTTCCAGTCCAAAGAGTATTCAATAAATAGGAAATTCTTCTCATCTGACATTACAGGGATGTTGCAGGAGAGGGTGATAGTGGGTGCAGAAAGAGGCTTCGTGTCCACATAACCAACTTCTCCTCACAGCATTCCCAGCTGAGCATTCCCATTCCTGGCCCAGCTAAACCAGGGCTGAGCACTAGGTGAAATCCTGTATTTTATATCACTGGTGGGTAGTGGAAAGAGACAGTCAAAAACTGTGATACCTTCACAAACTGCAGTAGTTTTTTGGCCCTGTTTAGGGGGTCACTGTGTTACTCCCAGATAGCAAAGGAAAAATTTTTATGAGGTTTTTTTTCTTACTTTACAATATAGTGAAAATTCAAGGAATATAGCAATCCAGTGCTAGACTAAGCTAAAACTGGAGGTTATGGTTTAGTTCTGAGGCCAGGTCAGAGTTAATCAGGGCTCTGCATTCACATACCACAGTGCCAAGGTCTTGCAAGTCCGAGTTCATATAGACTCTCTTTCTGATGATGGAAGTCTCAGAAGGTGAGTGCTTCCTGAGCTGCTTACACTCTCACATGGCAGGAAAGACAGGAATTAATTTTTCAGTGTGAGACAAACAGCTGTGGTGGATGTTCAAATAAAAAAGGCAAAACTAGAAGAGAATTCAGATTCAAGAAGTACAAGCACTAAAAAAAAAAAAAAGAAAGAAAAAAAAAAGAAAAATAGAGGTTTCAGGTAATGACGCTTGAGAATTTGCCCTAAAAGTCTCAATGTTTTGAATTATCCACTGTCTTGAATGTTATAAGTTCTTACTAGAAAGGAAGAAACCATGATCTTGGGTGGTGATCTGAGGACATGGTTAAAATAGTCTTTTAGGAAACAAGCTGTTATCTCTGTGAACTTGTGTTTTTGAGAGGAAGACCTCCTCCTATGAACACCATGAAGTGCGAAAGGTGATATTGATAATCGGTAGGAAAGTGACACGAAGAAAGCTCTTCTCAGTCCTCGTGTTCCCATAAATAATGTTTAACAAGATGACATAGTCATATTACAGAAGGTCTTGGATATTAAGCTTTCACTGTGCTTCAGTTGTAAAACATTTTATAGTGCTGTAAATTATATTATGCTCTGGACTTTGCTTTAGTATCTTAGGAACTGAGTAGAGGCGCGGGAGACATTTGATAGCTATGTATGTGTTCTGTTACCATAAATCACACTACTGTTAATGTTGGTATAGGAACATTACAGTGTTTAAAGCAACACCATGAGCAAATACCTTCATATTTCATTGACTGTTGGCCTCTTGCTGCAATAAGAATGTGAATTAAAGCAGGAACCACGTATTTCGTTTCACATATGTTATCTACAATGATTAAATTGTTCCTTTAGTTATCAAGATTGAGGAAAACTATAAAAAAACTTTCTGTTGTTCATCTCTAAAGTCCTGCCCAAGTACCGAAACTTTTATTACTTCGGTCAACTGACACTGATTTGTACCAACTGGGTGTCTGGCCCTTGAGCTAAGCCCTGGCCTTTCAGTTAACTTGGAATTTACTCAGAAATGCGTGAAATCAGCTAACACTAGTAAATCCGATAGCTTTGTTATTCATTAAAGCTAATAGATGAGCCATTATTAGGCCTAAGGCTGTGCAAGCCCACAGAAAGCTGTAATTAGCCCCTGTTGTTAGCTGAGAGTACATTCGCAGGGCTAAAAAAGCCGGCAGGCTGGACATAAAGGCACGTCGCGTTTCCCTTTGTCTCAAGACAATTTGGCAGGATTATGCTGTATGTAAACATTTACAGTACGACAGTGTTTTTAAAAAATATTTGCCAGGGTCACTATAGCAACCTGCTTAGGAAAGGGTAAATGTCTCCAAGAATGACTGGAGTCGAGCAGGGCGCGTGTGCGGAAGAGGGGTTTTGCAGGGCCGCGGGGCAGCCTGCGTGCCCCACGGCAGGCCCAAGCGCTGAGGCGGGCGCTGGGGAACGCGCTGCGGGGCAGCCTCGCAGCCCCACCACTCTCTTCAGCTGTGTCCCTTGCCCAGGGAGGCCAAGCAGCAAAGGGGTGAAGAGAGCAGCGATGGGCACCCCTGCCGCGGCGCAAACGCTGCGTGCCGCCCACTGAGCGGTGTCTTCTGCTCTGTCTGCCGCTGCCGGCTGCTGCTGCTAAACTTCTCGAGGCCAAACGTGATAGCTTACAGGAAAATATTTTTTTGTTGCTGGGCTAGGTCCTCAGCTCCTTTGAAAAAGATAAATGAAGTCACCAGTATCTTTTTAAATCCTGCAGGCATCTGTCTTCAAACGTAACTGCACCCATACATGTGCATGTGGCGCCGTACCCCTTTGGGCCCATGCATCAGCGTCGTTGGTTTTGGGAGCGAGTGGGCCAAGCGCCGCTTACGACCGTTTCTGGTGCTCCGTTGTTCCGTGGATGGCTTTGATGAAAGGGCTTACATGGCAGGAACGGACCCACGATGGTTCTGTAGCTGCAACCTGCTGCGCTGGCCCCACATCATGGTGCGCAAGGCAGAAAAGAGACCAGCTGTGCAGTGTTGATAGGAATACCCTGCAACATAACATATAATTCTTATTTGTGTTTCATTGTGGCACCATAGATACTGCTTTAAATGTGGTCTACTGTACGCTCCATAGGAGGACATAAAAAGAGTGCTTAGCTTGCAGCCTGCATGCATGAAGCAGCCAGAGGGTGACGAACACACGCAGAGAAGCACTATGGCAAATACGTGCTCTGCCAGACCTTTCTGCCCTCCTAAACAGTTGTTATTTGTCAGAGAGGTTTTAAGGCAGAGACACACAGATATGTTTAACGTCTCCTTTCCTCAGGCCTAGGAAAAAACGTCTTCCCTTAGAGCAGCGGTACATGAACTTTTATGAAGGCTGTTGCCTGAAGAGTGTTTGTGTTGAAGAACGTATTGAAGCATGAGGAAATTTTAGCATAAAATGAATCGTATTGACACATAAGTGTATTTATTATCTATTTATTGTCTATTTTGAATCTGA